ATTCGAAGATCAACCAGTTCTTTATCCGTAAGTTCTCTGGATTTTATCAACAAAGTGTTTGTATGCTCTTTTTCCTTTCTCACTTCCTCCTCCGTCGAGCAAAGACGTGTCTTAGTCCGCTCCTGCTTCTGAACGGCTTGCTATCTCCTGTTTTTGTCTTTTTTCCTGGAGTTTTGCCACAGACAACTTTAACAGAATGGAAATGATTAATTGGTCCCTCAACGCAATTGATTCTATCTTTTCAACACGTAAGCGTGGGTCTGGAGAGCCCGTGTTCCCGGACGGGACTTCACCAGCGGGGTATACTCTTGACAGCTGGAACAAGTTTCAGCCCCTCTGTCTGTCGACCCTGTCCATTGAAGATTCGGAAGACGTATATATCTTTGGCATTTTGGTGGTGGGAATCCTCCTGTTTGGGTTTGGAGCGATCCTGTTCTACCACAAATTCGGTGGCATGGCAGTTCGCAAGATTCACGGCCTGCTGGCCGACAAAATTGATGGGATGTACAAGGAGCTAAGCCGTGTCGTGGTTGAGAGTGCCGTGTCTGGACAAAGGAGAGTGGTTTTAGTGGAACAGTTGATCAAAGATCTCGCAGCTCGTTCACTCGATGGGCATAAAACTCTGGAATTGAGATTGAATGACATTGTTTGTCAGGCTTGAACTCTCTGACCCGGCTTGGATTTGCCCCTGTGTACGGAGGTCTGAGGGCGCCGTAATTCGGTTTAATTGGAATTAATAGAATATCTGCCTGCTTTTGATGCTACATTGCATATAATATTGTCCCTCTCAGGCGATGTGTTTTTCTCCTGCTGTGTCTTCTCTCCACTCTTATCTCACATTCCTCGACCAAGGCCATAAACAAGGTCCCACAATCTACAACAACTCACATTTCAGTCTCCAGCAAGGATCCCTCACCCCCGCCTCCCGCTACCTATCCATCTTGCTCCCTCCCTCCCCTCCATTCCTTATTGTTTTCCTACTCACCCCCTCCCTGATCCCGCCCCCCTCTGACAGCTACATTGGGCCGGCCGCCGGAGGTGCTCATCCCGAGAAAAAAATCCGTGGTTTATAAAAAGCACAATGTGTCTATCCAATTGTCTGTGAACTGTATGTTATTGCTCTCTGCTGTTTCTTGCTGCACACAGCGCCGCAAATGGCGAAGTGGCACGCTCTCTGCCAAGACAATTTCCAAGTGATAACTTTGTTACTCACGTGGCAATAAAAATGATTCTGATTCTGATTCTGATTTTTCATATTTTTTCAGCAAGTCATTTATCAGAGTCTCTTCTGAGCATGAATAATCAGGTGTGCAATTCATTGATCCACTTGTTACAGCCCTTGACAATCCCAACTAAAATGTCGCCATCGAGCCTACGTTTTCATTTGTCATATAAAAGCAGGGTTGACTTTTGCATGGGTCGGTGAGAGTCCGACTTTGCTCGCTCTGCTGCCCTCCTCCCTGCGTCTCCCAGATCACCTGATGAAGCCTTTAGGCGGACCGACTGCGGTGACAAAGTGCAAGTCGAATGTACACAAAGCCGGAGCGCAGCCATGACCTACTTAATACCTGCCGCATGTAACGGAGAGAGGAGAAAGGAGAGGGAGGGGCGAGGACGCTCCACTCTCCACGGCTGAGGCCAAGGCTGGGTCAAGACTGAGGCGCTAGGGTCGGAGTCGCGTGTGCAATTTGGGGCTGCATTGTGAAGCCTTTGAGATGACTTAGTGGTAGTAGTAGTAGTAGCAAAAAATAACTATGTAAGCCCAAAGTGTCAAACAGTAACTCACAGGGCTCTTTCTTACGTACAGTATGCTAAATCTAAAATGTTTTCTAATTGGGTGGAGACAGCATATTGTGGTCTGATTTGTTCACAATATTTGACTTCTGCAAGACTCCTTCTGTTGGGACAAACCCCGTGTTCTTTGCAGACTACGCAATCGAAATAATTAGAATGAATGGAAAGTCAGGCTGTTTGTTTTGGCTTTCAATAAACTGCCTCAAGGTGTCTTACAGTTACCAATTCAAAATTAAGTGATAAATCAACAGACTTTAGGAAATTATCAGAGCTAGGAAGGAAGACATGTCCTAGTTGAGCAACTACAACTAAATAGGTGGGAAAACAAATTAATCAAAATGTAGTATTAGACTGTATCAAACTGAAACTAATCTCACAAGATACAGGCATAAAATGACTAAACTGGTGATGTTGGAATCTGGCTTGAAGTGAATAATTAAAATCTTCAGCTAAGTTACTGACTTCTGCACAAAAAACGATCCACCCAAGAATCGACTAACAATGACAGAGCTTGTACATAGAGTTTACTAGACCTTGAATTCTGTTAGGTAACTGGATAAGTTCCGTTATAACTTATTCAGACTGTTATTTAGGTTACATCCCTCAAGCTGGAAAATTATGAATGGCTTTTGCACTGCTCCAGAGGAAAGCCTGACTCTTGCTGGGACTTGTGCCATCGGCCTGGAAAGTCAGCCTCAGGGTTCAGCTCAGCTCACTGTCCAACACTCAAGTACCGGAGCGTCAATAATATCAAAGTACCTCTGCAATGACACGAATGGCATCTCCACTGGGCCCACACACGCACAACTCTGCAAACCATTTGTCATTATACCAGCAAAGATACTGAAGAGGAAGTCTGGTTAAAATTGAAGCCTACTTCTCTGTTCCTTTCCATGTTATTCTTAGTCATAGATAATAAATGTCCGGCTATTGCTTAAGACATAACTCCATTCAAATAGGAAATGCACTGTTTATGTAGTACATGCCTATTCATTGCAAATGAAACCTGATAGCTACAATGGAACTCAAGTTTGGAAAGACATTTTCAAAGGGTACCTAACTTTCAATCCACAACAGTAAAATCCTTCTAAGATAAGAAGATTAGATACTCTAAAAAGAGATCAATAAAGTGTGAGTTTCAAATGCATTTTTTGTTGCCCCTGTCATGCATTTAGATCAGCTTTTTTATGACAGAAAAGTAAACACCCTCAATCAATCAATCAATCAATCAGCTCTTAGCCCAAAGCATAAAAGAAGCTCCATCTGCACCAGCTCTACTCTACTGGACTACTTGGTTTACATTACACATTACCATCTGGTACCGTATCCTAGCAACCATACCCACAACAAACCAGTATCCGGGAAATATCTTGTTAACCATGGCTTCCAGCAGCACTCTTGCCATTCGCTGTCAGTTAGAACTCTTTAGTACCACCTCTGCATGGATTTAACAAGGGCCAAGCAGGTACTTAAAAGGTACCAGTTAAAAAACAATCAAAGTAGAGTAGGACTGGTGGAAACGGGGCAATAGTGATTCTTAACAGTATGCAAAGACATGTTTTATAAAATCAAGACAGCATATTGTGGTCTGATTCATGTGGTTCTGATTTCATTTTAAGACTCTTTCAGTTAGTACAAACAACATGCATTATTTATTAACTCAAAAGTTAGGTAGCCCAGCTTTAATACCACTACGTATCATGTCATGCATGTGTTGACTATTTCAAAACGCCAGACAAGTTGAACGCACAAACTCGGGCACATGTTGCCAGCGATCCATTTCAGTATTATTACGCAAAAAAGAGCCAGACACCTGCAAGGCACCAGTCTGAGCGAAGGGGGAAAGAAGGCTGATTATCTGGCGTCAAAAAGAGGCACCAGAAAAGAAGACTGAAGAGTGGGGAGAGAGGGGTGTGCAATATTCCAAACTGTTGCATCCTACTCCATAACTAGGTCAACTTTCATGCAGGAAACGCGTATTCAACAAAAGACATGTTGCCCGCGTTTACGCAGAGCCAGTGCATTTGATACGACGTGGCTGTCTATATTTCCGCGGTTGGATAAGACGCAAGCACGCAGCAGCAAAAAACAATGTAAAAACCCAGGCACTTTACGCATTCCACTCAATACGTAAAGTGCGTGCATGTACAATATCTAGATGCGTGTAGAAAACTTGACTACTTACCAGCTGTTCACGCTGCAGCTGAAGACAATGTTGACATGTAGGCAACTTAACCTGCTTGTAAATATCCCGTGCGTATTTGGAGAGTACGTCGGCTACGTCAAAAACGCCACGCAAGAAAGAGACGGCAAGATGCAAAACTTTGGAGGCCGCACTTTCATCTGAAGTTGTCGGCAGAGGCGGGCGCCATGTTTGCGTCTAGGTTTGTTGGTTTGTGTTGGTGAGTGAGCGAGTCTTTCGGCTTGGCTTGGAACCGCCCAGAAACGATTGAGATCCAGGCGTCAAGAGCTGGGAGGTGTGACGCTAAGCAGTTTCCGGGCAAGCGTAAAAGTTAAAGCGAGGGCGGAAGGCGATTTGTTTTGGCTCCATTTCATTGACCAACATCTACTTTTTCGTTCAAGTTAAAAGTAAGACACGTTTATTTGCTACGATGTGGGCTAGCGTGATTAAAAATACAAGTCACTCACAATGGGATTTACACTCGCCAATGTGAGGCGCGCGCCCTCTAGTGACAATTTGGAGCAAGTACAATACGAATGCAACAGGTGGTCATGCTGGGGTACCAAACTTTGAAACTACAAAAATTTAAAAAAAACTGGCTCATAAGTTTTCACATGTATGTACCTCACGTCTCATCTTTTTCAGACCAAACGTGAAACATTAGTGGACCACCTGCACTCATCTCAAAACATCAATTAGTGACTCACTGGGTATTCTTGGAGGCATGCGGAACATGTTTACTTAAGGTCACAACATGCAGTTTCCGTTTATCTACTCACAAAATATATTCCCAATAGAATGTATTAAGAAAAAGAAGTGTCCAAGATTGGTAAGGGTGAAAGAATCCCAGAGACAATATTTGTAAAATCATCTTTATTGAAATTCAAACATTTAAGACTTTTTTTCTTCAACTAGGGACATGTTAGTCAGGTATATGTACAAGTGAAATGTGCAGTAAATTCATACTTCCTCAAGAATGAGAAAAGTGGTTTACAAATATATACAGCAATAGTTAATAGGAACATTAGCACTTCATGTCATCTATTGGTGAGAAGGTTATTAGTTTAGGGAGGCTATATTCTTGAGGCTGGGTGGATGGAGAACCCAACGTGTCAAAATCCAAAGAAAACTTGTCAACATCAGTTTTATCTGACTTCACTGAGTCTATTGCCCAGTCACTGCCCAATGTTGGCCGATCAGGAGACAGGAAGCAGTCTGGTATGTTGATGTGACCGGTTAACAAGTCTTCAGTGCATTCTTGTTGCATGATGTCAGGCTGCTTTTGTCCGCTCTTCCAATGTGGCGTCCCCTCATCCTCGCTCATGTCAAAGCTCAATAAACTGTCACAGCTTGGCATTTCAGGGAGCGTTTCATGGTCAAGACTGAACTGGACCGCGCTGCTTCCTGTACCACTGGGACCATCCATCGCCTCATTGAACGTATCCCAGCCCAGATTAGATTTAGTCAAGGCCCCCTGCTGGCAAACGGAGGGTGTGTCTTCAGTCAGCAGGGAGGTGAATTGAGGTTTTGTTTGGGATGGAGCACAAGGGCTCTGGAAAGTAAAAGCAGAGGTGACAAGAGGAGTAAGGTGGCCCAAGATGCTGTCGTTGTCTTTGGTCGAAGAGAGTCTCGCGGCTTTGTCCTCTTCAATTGCTTTTCGCCAGGAATTCTTTACATCCATGACTTTGGGGGAGAGAGAAAATTAGATAAAATGTATATCAAAACAAGTTATATTAAACAAGTTTATATCAGTAACTTCAATGCTCTCATTTTTAAAATGCATATTTCAGATCAGATAGATCAATGACAAGGAATCAAGCATTTTAAGTTCTTCCAAAAAGGTAGCTTCAGGTGAGCATGGGCGTGTAGTCAGTGCTGGTCTTAAAAGATGTTTCATTTGCTCTTCAGTTTGAAAACAAATTCACTTTCATGTACGGCTGTTGTCCAAGGAATTTCTTTGTTAATTAAATAGGGTGTAGAAAATGTGTTAAACATTTGATTCAAACTACTCCCAAGGTAAAACTAATGAGATTATAGAAAAACATTTTAACTGGAGAATGTAGCATAAAATAGCAGATTTTATTATTTTTTTTTTTAAATGAATGATCTGGTCAAATATAATCCAATTACTGGCTTTTGATAGCCCTAGTTATGACACCCAATCTCCCCTAAATTAAGTGTCTATTAATCAATTTGTAATTAATCAATTCTGTATTAATTACATTGAATCTACAAATAATCTCACAAACCAAACCAAAATTCTGGAAACCACCGCTTGAAAAATATGACGTACTCAGGCTTTCAGGTGTACGCGGCAACTGCTTTCGGGTGGAAAATGGATCTCCATGAATTGTGGTTAGGATATCCTCAAAGTCCAGAACATTGGCACGGCCAGGATTCGCTGGGTTTGTCGTTACCGCTTCTGCAAACTTTCAAAACAAAGATATAAAAATAAGAGCTTAAACAAGGACAGAAACTCATTAAGATGGCTGACACGATTTACCTGGTCTGCGAGATTATTACACTCCAGGTCAATTATTTCAGTCCTTGATTTTAGTGGTGTGACCAGAGAGTCTTTAGGCAGAACGCTGGGCTTCATAATAACCTAAATCACAAAACAGCATAAAAGGTTTGTCTGTCACCTTAATATAGTGGTCATTACTATAGGACACCAACTTTAGGAGGTGGAGCTGGTTCAGTTGACACCGGAGAGGCCTCAAACAGCCAGTCGAGAGACGTATTTGCCTGAGAGGTGGCTTCAGCTGATTCCACTGGTCCTTCATCATTCAAGACCAGGCAATTACTTCAAAAATAAGGGTATACAATTAGAGAATTCATTATCCATACAAAGCTAGTGTTTTGGTCATGTGAAAACACTTAAAACTTTTATCTACAGTTGTTTGAGCTGAAAACTTAATATGAGAGACACACTGGGTTTTAGATGCAGGAGGGTCTAACAAAAAAGACCAGTGGTGATGATACAGGACACTCAACATTTAAAAACATTGGTTTACAGAAAATATTCCTTTAACTATAAGCATTTCACTTGGATGTAGCCTTAAAAACCTAAAATCATGTCTGCCCCGTATCTGTCCGTGACGATTTCCCTTAATTCGCCCCGGTCATCAGAGAGCATGTATGCTTTAGGGAGGAGTAGTGACGGACAGAGCACCACTTTGGACTGTCCAAGTATCTACCTCCCATTCAAAGATTATATGTCACAAAACATACAATTATTTACCTTTTAGTTACAGGTAACTTTGCATTAGCTTCTATTGGCCTCTTCTGTGCTTCATCTGCAAAAAGTTGAACAAAAAGAGCATTAAAATAAAACTACAGCAGCGCATTATCAGAATCCTTTTATTGCCATGTGAGTAACAGGAAGTCACAAACTAGAAAATTGCTTTGTCTCTCGGTGTAAACGACTTAAAGCAGAATTAATAGCAATAGAATTAACCACGAAAAGAGCTTTGAAAACAAATCACACATTGGAAAACTGTCTGAGTTAATTTTGAATATTTGTAACAAGATTGTCTTGTCTGACAGAATCTTGTTTAGTGCTTAAAAATAAAAGGAAAAACAAAGTACTATTAAAATAATGAAGGGAGATTTGAAAACTTCTGCCTACTCCTTTTGAGCTTAGTATAGAGAACAAAATAAAGACAGCAATGCTTGTTTTATCAACTGTACTACATTGAGCTAAAATAAAAATAAATAGTTTAGTTAAGATTATTTTAAGTAATGAAATGTAAAAATTGGGCATGAGGTAACCCTTTATAAAAATGGGTAAGGGTCAAGTTTAATCTGAGCCAAATTAAATTTAGGAAAAACATAGGAAATCCATTGCATCACAACATTGGTCAGAAACATTGTAATTAAGATTTATATATTTTCCAAAACGGTGCAGACCTACCACACAGTCACATGGGCCTGAGGTTAGTGCTACTCACCGAGCAGTTTCGCAGGATACTGGGTGAAGATGCTACTTGTATAACTCCCTTCGGGCGCCGGATCAAAAGACAGCGGCGCCATTGGTGAAAGAAACCCAAGCGCCTACGCAAAACAAAGCCACATTTGAGTTGAGGCCTGAGAAAGCTTTAAGATCAAGACAAACTCACGGGGTCTTCATTCAGAAAGGCTGTCAGTGGAGTGTTTTGGAGAACGTCACGCCATCTTCCATCCCAATCTCGCTCCAACTCCTTAATGGCCTCTTTGACTGCAGGTGCCTCCTCTTTTGATATCCTTTGCCTGCAAGGATTACACACAAGGTTACCCATTTTTTGAGCAACCCATAGTCAGGATTAAGACAAAAAAAAAAAAACTACAAAAAAAGACTAATATTGCAAGATTATTCCATTTACCGAATCAGATGGAGGTCCTGTAGCACACGGGTCATTTGTTGGCACTTCTCCTGCAGTTGCTGTGGTACAAGGTTAGTTTGAAGGCAATGGGAGACTCGAGACTTCTCGTCCTTCAGCAGCTGCAAGGCGTGGTTCGTCAACTCCAGCACGCTGAGGAGGTTGAGTTGCCCGTCTTCGTAGACATTTCCTGAGTTCAACTAAAAATGCACAGAAATAAAACAAGTTAATTAAGACTAAAATAAATAAATTGGACAGAAATTGTTAATGGTAGCAAATACCTGATGAGGAAGTTTCTGGATCTTTTGTGACAAACTGGGAGATATTTTCAGAGCCTTTTCAGAACCATCGAGTTTGTATTGATCCACGTTTCCCTTTAAGACGCACTGCAGTGAATGTTGCTCCTCTTGAGTCGATAAAACAACTCTTTCTATGTTACACCACAGGGCACGCACCTAAAAATAAACAATGTGTGTTTGGCTATTTGGCGTTTATTAAAAGAAAAGGGAAAAAAATGTGCATACTTTCTTGGCCTTCGCAGAAAGACAGTCTTGATCAGGAACTGTGTCATCGCTGTATCTCCTACACAAACAATTCAAATGACCAATTGTGAATTACGACTACCGAAAGAGGAAATCTAAAAGTTGGGTACAAAGAGGCACATACTTGAGCAGCTCATCGTATTTAGCAGCTTCAGCTTGAAGATCCCTCACAGACTTCACCAAAGCCCTGCGACACAGAGGAACACACTGCACTAAGTAACAGGAGCCACCTGCACTTCAATTACACTGATTACAGTCACACTTTTCAAACCATTGATGGATGAAGGAATCCTGAACTTACTACAAAAAGTAACCTATAGTGAATTATTAACCATAAAGAAACACAAAAAAAAACAATTAATAATAAGATTCTGGAAAAATAACCCAAATTAGATTAGATTTACAATGCATTGCTGTGAAAGGTTCCATAAAAATAACATGTTAAACACGATCATGAAACAATAGATAATAAATATGTTCTTGTATTACATTTCCGTATTTCGGACAGGTGTCAATACAACACTATGGGAAAGGAGGCATTTTCCAGGTCATTAAATGAAGAGTAGATGATCAAACACAGACAGTACATTGCAATCAACATTATGTGTATTTTCATAAATATTTTCACAAACGTTAGGACCATAGTGTATTGTACCGACAGAGACGTGGGACTTTATGACAGTCGTGTATGTGGATTCGCCCAGGACTAAACAAAGACTTGATATTTGACCTCTCTCATAGTTACCCTGACTCTAAACCTAACACCTTCATTTTAGACTCTATGGAATGTTTTGTCATATGAACACAACCAGTATTACTATTCACCCTGTAAGATGTACAGTTACCTTGATCTTTTATTTCTCAACCCACTAATTTATATGACAGAGAGCAGTAATGTGAAATTATTTGGAGTGGTACTTCTTCCATGAACATTGCAGATTTGTAGACAAGCCGTTTTAACTGTGTAACGTCCATTCAGATTTGGTGTTTATGTTTTTTCCTAGGCCACTTGAAAGCAGCTCAGACCAGTCTTTTGCAGAGAGTAGAATGTACAGTAGAGATGCAGCAGCAAATATTGCCATCCACCATTTTCCCACAATTCAGAATATTGTAGACTTACTGGGCTCTTTTCTGGTACTCCTGGAGGAAGCAATCTTGATCTACAGCAGTTTTCAAAAACCTGGCTCTGACTAGGCTCAGTCTTTTCGCTGCCATATCCACAGAAGACGTAGTCAAAGCTGCTGCCTCAGGTACCCATGTGCCATCTGCAAAATATAAAATACTTTTGAATAATTTACCATTTTACACAGACAAGACTTCTCCACAGTTCCAAGAAAGAATGCTTTACCTGTCTTGAACGTCTTCATTTCTTGTAGCATGGTATGATTAGCCAAATTAAGCATCAAAGCCACAAATTTTGGGCCTCCAGGTGAGAGGAACAAGGAAGCTTGGACTTTGGACCCAGCATTGGCAGTCTCATCCTAGATCAAATACAAGGAAATAATGACTGTACAGCCAGCACACAATAGAATAGATATAACTGCCTAAAATAAACAAATATTACCATTATTTCTCTCAGCCAAGCACATGTGACCTTTCTAAACTCAGCATCTGCCTTGTGATCTAGTACAGGCCAACAGTGCCTAATGAATAGAGTAAAAACAAACAAGACAAACGTTTATACCAACTCCATTATACCTATATACAGATATACCTATATGCATTCATGAAAATACCTGTACGACTCATTAAATCGTGTTGGATTAAGCCTTTCGAGTAGAAAATGTGTTACAATGTAAAAGGCACCCTTGTTTGGCTTGTCAAACATCGCCCTAAGGAAATAAAAACAACAAATATCACATTAGGACTCAAATTATATTACATTACGACAAAGAAAAAAAACCCAGACTCTGATCGTGAATACTTACGGGCCAAGGTTTGTGCATGTCTTCGAGGCTAAAGGTGATAATTCTGTCTCCGGGTTAAATCCCAAACCAAGTAACGCAAACCATAGATATTTGCCATTTATTTTCTGGACCACAATTGGATTAGTCATAGTGATTTGTTTCAAAATAGAGTTTAATTTAGAAAAAGTCGCATCACAGACTATAATCCCTGCGACATTAGCATTAGCCTGTTAGCTCCAAACTTTTCTCTGCCACTCCTATATGATCACATTAAACAAAGTGAAGTCCACATCGTAAACGTCGTTTTGCGACGCGTGGATTAACATTCTCTCAACAATCCTAAATATTAGTTTAGTTTTAGAAACAAAGAAGATAAAACAAAGTATTCGCCTATTGCATTCGACAGACCGCCAATATTCCAAATAAACCCGGATGTTGTTCACCAAGTGTTTCCGGTCAGAGAGTAGATCGTTTATATACAGTCTAAGTATGTTCTGAACAAAATAATACATCCGTAGACCCATGTGCTGAACCCATGCTGGAAAAAGGATTTAAAATATTGTTCGATACGATGTCACCCAGGCACAGTTTGGCTAAACCACATATGTAGTCGAATAAAGTTAGCCAAAACAAGCTCCATGGACCAAATTCTTGGATTGCAACTACCTACCAACCAAAGAGCACCGCGGTAAAGTGGCCCTGCATTTCGTCGCGAGCGGTAAAGAGGTCCGCACTTTGAAAGCGGTTGGCTCTTTTATGCTGTTACTTACGGTAAATGTGGAAAGGGAAGCCGTGACGACGAGAAAGCAAAATGCTATATCTTTTAAAAAATCATTAAAAAAGAACAAAAAGAGGTTTGACAATACTTTCACTGCACACTTCTTCAATGAGATGCTCTTTACCACTGTGTAAAATATCATTCATTTTTACTCTAGAAATTCTGAGAAAATGGGGGTCAAAATGTGCCATTTTGGTCCCAAAAGCACTTTTTAAAATTCATTTTTAAAAAATCGAAAAAAGTTCCCTGACTGCTTTCACTGCACACTTGTTCACCAGGATGCCCTCTACCACTGTGTAAAATATCATTCACTTTTACTGTAGAAATACAGAGAAAATGGGGGTCAAAGTGTGCACAAGTGGTCCCAAAAGCACTTTTTAAAAATCATTTTAAAAAAATCTAAAAAAGTTCCCAGACTACTTTCACTGCACACTTGTTCACTGGGATGCCCTCTACCACTGTGTACAATATCATTTACTTTTACTGTAGAAATCCAGAGAAAATGGGGGTCAAAGTGTGCACAAGTGGTCCCAAAAGCACTTTTTAAAATTAATTTTAAAAAATCTAAAAAAGTTCCCTCACTACTTTCACTGCACACTTGTTCACTGGGATGCCCTCTACCACTGTGTAAAATATCATTCACTTTTACTGTAGAAATCCAGAGAAAATGGGGGTCAAAGTATGCACAAGTGGTCCCAAAAGCACTTTTTAAAATTCATTTTAAAAAAATATAAAAAAGTTCCCTGACTGATTTCACTGCACACTTGTTCAACAGGATGCCCTCTACCACTGTGTAAAATATCATTCACTTTTACTGTAGAAATCCAGAGAAAATGGGGGCCAAAGTGTGCACAAGTGGTCCCAAAAGCACTTTTTAAAATTCATTTTAAAAAAATATAAAAAAGTTCCCTGACTGATTTCACTGCACACTTGTTCAACAGGATGCCCTGTACCACTGTGTAAAATATCATTGATTGACTGCGGAACCTTCCGCAGTCAACCATTGGTTTTGTATTTCTTTATTCCGTCATTTTTTTCCGTCATTGATTGACTGCGGAACCTTCCGCAGTCAACCATTGGTTTTGTATTTCTTTATTCCGTCATTTTTTTTGACACGTTTCACAGCTTTCACATTTTCAACAATTTCCACAAGTTATACATCAAAACGTTCCACATGTTTGGGAGATTATTGCTATTACTTTTGGGACTTCAGCGATTTCCGGTTTTTCCGCAATCGGACAAAAATCTGCATTGAGAATTCTGCAATGCATTTTAATAGGCCCATGCATTTTAATAGGACTTCAGCTCTTTCAGACATTTCTACAGTTTCAATGATTCAACAGTTTCAAGGATTCAACAGTTTCAAGGATTTCAGCAGTTTCAAGATTTCAAGAGTTTAAGGACTTCAACAGTTTCAAGGACTTCAGCAGTTTCAAGGACTTCAGCAGTTTCAAGGACTTCAGCAGTTTCAAGGACTTCAGTGTAATCATGCAACCTAATAGGGATTTTTCCATGTAAACCAGTATAATGCAACTTAATAGGGATTTTTCCATGTAAACCAGTATAATGCAACTTAATAGGGTTTTTTCATGTAAACCAGTATAATGCAACTTAATAGGGGTTTTTTCCATGTAAACCAGTATAATGCAACTTAATAGGGGTTTTTACATGTAAACCAGTATAATGCAACTTAATAGGGTTTTTTCCATGTAAACCAGTATAATGCAACTTAATAGGGTTTTTTCCATGTAAACCAGTACAATGCAACTTAATAGGGATTTTTCCATGTAAACCAGTATAATGCAACTTAATGGGGATTTTTCCATGTAAACCAGTATAATGCAACTTAATGGGGATTTTTCCATGTAAACCAGTATTATGCAACTTAATAGGGATTTTTCCATGTAAACCAGTATAATGCAACTTAATAGGGATTTTTCCATGTAAACCAGTATAATGCAACTTAATGGGGATTTTTCCATGTAAACCAGTATTATGCAACTTAATAGGGGTTTTTACATGTAAACCAGTATAATGGAACTTAATAGGGGTTTTTACATGTAAACCAGTATAATGCAACTTAATAGGGATTTTTACATGTAAACCAGTATAATGCAACTTAATAGGGATTTTTCCATGTAAACCAGTATAATGCAACTTAATAGGGTTTTTTACATGTAAACCAGTATAATGCAACTTAATAGGGATTTTTCCATGTAAACCAGTATAATGCAACTTAATAGGGTTTTTTACATGTAAACCAGTATAATGCAACTTAATAGGGGTTTTTACATGTAAACCAGTATAATGGAACTTAATAGGGGTTTTTACATGAAAACCAGTATAAAGGATAACAGTTTAAAGGATATCAGGAGCTTCAAATACTTCAGGAGTTTCAAAGATGTTTAAAGTATTTTAACAGTTTCAAGGATTTCAAGGATTTTTCAGCTAAATTCCACATTAGATCTGTTCCGCAGTCAATCGCAATGGCTTCAGCCATTGCAACGGTTTCTAGTTATCTTTACAATCAGATACAGAAATCAACAAAAGAGTGCTCCTATAACTAATATGTCCCTCTCCTGGCCCTCGGCTGATCCTTCTGTTTCTCCCCAAGCCAGAGCATATAAAGAACAGGAAGGAGGGGAGTGTCCTATCAGCCAGCTTCCGGTCTAGGGTCCAGCCTTTTCCTCCGTCTGCCAGACTCCTGATGGAGTGAGGTTGAAAAGTGCAGAAGTCAGCAGGCCAAGACTAGGGGGTTGAAATCCAAACAGGAGAATCTGTTGTCCAGTTGCTGGCACAAGAAGACACCTAAAATAAAATAAGAAGGACTGGCCTCCCACTTAGAGGTTAGCTAGGTCATAAAACACATGGTTTTAGAATGTCACGTATTTATAAATACAACAGTTTCCCTCTTTTGACCTGATTAAAAATTAGGTCACAATCCACATCGTCGTTTATCATCAATCCTTGTGCTTAGTTCCGGCTCGATATCTGTGAAGAGTTAATACAGAGAAAACAAACAACACACAACCACATTCGAAACATTCCTTCACTAAACTCTTTGATGACCACTGCTGTCATTCTGATTCTTCTTCAACCTCGTCTGTAATGTATGCACTAAAACTATTCACTATAGTTTAAACTATTCTAATCTATTTACAAATATGTTTGCTTATTTTGCTCTTATTGAGCCCTATTCTTAAACATATGTTTTTATCTAATAAATCTATCTATACTGGTGGTTTGCTTTCATTATCAGTGGCTCTGTGCCATTTTGTGGGGCTTTGCTCATTTTTCCAAATACATTTTGTTGAACCAGGAAGTGCTGTCACTTCCTTCTCTCAAACCGTTTGGGATAAATGTACATCGTTAATCAAATTGGTATTATCCGTACAGGAGCTAATCTATTTTAGCAGGTTTCTCTGTGGTTAGTCCCTATACAACGGTATTTTGATTCTCTAATCTGTTGCTGACAAATCGACAGCTCTTAAAATTCTCAAAACTACCTAAAGATCTACTTTTGTGCTATACCCAAATTCACCAAAATGCTTTTAAATGTTTTTGAATCTCTGTTGGTTCTAATCTATCTCATTAATCTAAGCTACATTAATCTAGGCTACACTCATGAACTTTATCTACTTTTGAAGTAACTACTTTTGGACATAATATGAAGGAAATGGTCTTTTTACCGTTTGATATTAACCCTGTCTAAAAATAATCTCTATTTTTTGAAAGCATCTATCTATTTTACACTCTATTGTGACTCCAAATCTTGGTTGTAGTTTGAGCCAAAGCATATTCCCAATTTTTGAGTTCTGATTGTAACAATTGCATTGGCAATAGATGATTTTTCATTGGCTAGTTCTTGTTCTGCCAATCACTATTCTATGTATTGTATTTCAGACAATTCCAAAAACAACACAGTCGTTCTCCAATATTAAAGACATACATCTAAATCAAGTTGCCTGAAAGGGATTTTAACTATTTTAAAACGTTCTCTACGATTATAAGGCTATGCATTTAATTATTTAATAAACAAAAGCACATTCATGGCTTCTGTCCGCTGCTTATAACTGTTTAAAGAGTTGTCCCAAACTTAATATGTGTAAATACATCAGCTATTTGTAATAAACAATAACATTTAACCTGTTCTCCAATGGAGCAGCTCAGAGGCTGCATCAAGAGCAATGTTATATTTGAGCTATTTTTAGATTTAAAATTGTGTTAAAGCCTGTCGTTTTATGTCTGCATTTTAATACTACTCTCTATAAACACATCTGCACTAGTTCCTACAGATGTGGAAAACAGAAACATCTAAAATCTGACTCCATTTGATTCCTTTTTACTTTAGTTATTAGAACAATTTGACCT